CAGTGAGGGTCTGGAGGAGGCCAGAAGGAGGCTGATGGAGTCACACCAACAAGCTGTGCTGGGTCTTCATCTGAACTTGTCTGTGGGGAGAACTGGGTCACAGACAGGAGCACCAGGAGCCAGAACGCTGGGATTAGTTCAGTGTGTGAGGGGGAGAGAGGGAAGGATGGAGGGCTCCTCCTCTCTCCACCTTGGCTGCCTGCAGCAGCCAATGGGGCTGTGCCAAGGTTGTTGACCCCAAGAGGAACAGGAGTCCTGGGGGATGTTACAACACTGTCAGCTCACCCACAGAGGCACCAGCACTGCCCTCCAGGCCTGGGTGTGTGCTGCTGCTTCTCCCTATCACTTCCTCTCTCTGACTTCCCTGTCTCTGTGAGCAGAGCTCCTGCTCTCCATCCCTCTCCATCAAACCTTCACAGTCCTTCCTTCCTCCTCACCGGTGTGGGGCATTCAAGAGGCACCTCTTGTCCCCCAGACTGTACCTCTTTGTGTTATGCTGTTTATTCCATCTCCATGCTTTCAGTAGAAGAGCACATTGGAGACAATTCCCAGGTTGTTTCTAAGACCTGGGGACACATTTAATGAGTATCTATGTTGAACCAGTCTCTTCTCCTCTCCCCTCCCTCTTTGCCTGTTGGGCAAAATTGTGAAACCTCATTTCTGAGGATTGTTATGAGGATAGGCAGTGCCTGAGACATGAAGAGCACCAATCTGTTGTTAATTATTTTCTTTTCTAATAAAATATATTTTTATTGATTTCAGAAAGAAAGGGAGAGGGAGAGATAGAAACATCAATGATGACAGAGATTCATTGATCAGGCGCCTCTGAATGCCCCACACCGGGGATGGAGGCAACAATCTAGGCATGTGCCCTGACCTGGAATCCAACCATGATCTCCTGGTTCATAGGTCAACACTCAACCACTGAGCCATGTGGGCCAGAAATCTGGTGTCATTTTCTGCCCCGATGAAGGCATGTGTATGAGAGACATGTGGTGGGAAGGGCTGTTTGGAAGCCACACATATGTCCCCCAAGCCTACAAAGTAAAACAGAAGCCGTAGTGCAGATGAGCGAAGAGAAAAGGATGCAGGGATGGTGGGTCTCATTTTGGAACCTAAACTCAGCCCAAGTCAGGAGTGAAGATGGAAATTTAATGAGTGTGTTGGTCCTTAAGCACTAAGGCACTTAGGGAACCTCTGACCTGGTGGGAGTCCTGCTTCCATTAAACTCCACGGACACCAGTGGTGCAACCCCCAAGGTATAAGGCAGCTATAGGGAACCATGCGTGTTGCACTTGCATTTATTTTTATTGAAGCAACAGTCACATAATGTACAATTGAACCTTTTAAAGTATGAAATTCACTAGAATACAGTAAATACACAATGTTTCCATGACAACGTCTATCTTGTTTCAAGAAAGTTTTAAACTCCCCCCAACAAACAAACAAACAAAACAACAACAAACAGTCCCTCTCCAATCTGTCCTCCCGGTCAACCCCAGACAAACCAATTAGATTTCTGTTTCTATGGGTTTCCTTCTCCTGGACATTTCGCATAAAGAAAATCACACAAAACCTGATTCCATTTTGTGTCCGGATTCTGTCCCTGAGCTGCATTATTATGACGTTTTCCCACTATGGACCAGGTACCTGTCCTTTGTTCTTTATGCTTTAAAACTAATCACAGGGTTGTGAAGACGCCTTATTTTGTTGGAATGCTTGTGACCCAGTATGCAGGGGTCTATAGATGTGAATCCAAACCAACCATGTGGGACGGACCCTCATGTCCCAAGGTGAGAACAGAAGGGCAATGAAGGAGAGTGAGCGAGGTCAGGGAGGGAGGGAGAGCACCCAGGTGGGTGGAGGAGGTGTCCTCTACAAGGACATGGCCCATGTTCCCCTGCACCCAAACCTCGCCTACCACGTCTACCCCCCTGGACATTCTCAACAGACAGATTCCCCAACTATGGTCCCCACTTTCCTTCAGCACCTCCTGGGATCCTCAAAAGGGCTCCAAGGCTCCCCCTCTCTGAACGGTGCGTTGTTCCCTCTGTGTTCACATGCTGGCTGCATCGAGGATCCTTATGGGGTTGTTTCGAGCCTCAAATAGCAGCACCCCCAGGACCACCAGGATCAAGCCAGCCACGCCCATCCGGATGAGATTCTCCACTGTGTAGTCTTGGGGATGGGAAAATAAGAATTGTGGGTAAAGAAGTCTCAAAGGTCAGGGAAGACCCTAATCTGCAGGATTTTGAAGTTCAACCTGGGCTCGCACCTCCCCTTGACATCAGTGTCCCTGTGATGTCTGAACTCAAAACCTACTCTAAGTCACGTTGATCAGAGTTAGCTGTGCCCAAGAACTGAGTGAGGAGGGTAAGAAATGGTCTCAATTCAGAAATAACTAAGAGCTGTGTGTTCTGTGTTCAGCCTGTGGATCAAGACCCCATGAGCTTATTCCCCTACAGCTGAGAGATCCCACATTCTCAACAGCTGGGGACCCAGGGTCCATGGAGGAGGAGTTGGTGTCAGGGGCTCCTGAATCTCAGGAGCATGAAGGGGTGAAAGTCTGGGGTGGGTTTCCTTCATCCAACCCCACCCGGGCCCCTCCTCTCATGGGTCTGCTATGTCCATTGTCACTTGAAGTTGTTCATCTATTGATTCTTTTATTAACTCACCTTATTTTACAGTAACAAATATCTACAGTGGTAGATATATTTTCCAGATGAAAAATATGGGTATGTGGATGCTAATCGTGTGATTTTTTTTTAAACTCAAAAGACAACTAAGGTCAAAACCAAAGAAGTCCACAGTTTTGGTTCAAATTTAAATCACAGAAAAAATCCCCCTAATTTCAATATTTACTTAGCACCAAAAGTAGGAAATTAGGTCAATCTCTTACCCCATTTTTATATATATCCCATGATGTAAACAGAAATTATGGATTGTTCCTCATTACAGTGGTCCATGCATTAACTCTAAATGTCAGCTCCACAATTCAGAAAATGCACATGAATGATCTGCGTTACTCAGTTGGGTTAATATCCAAGTGGGAAGCCTTTGTAATGTGTGTCATGTGGTTAAAAGTCAGAGAAAGGATAATTATGAGGAGATGTGTGTCTGTCAGGAAAAGAGAGCATTCCTAGTAAACCCTAATGAAACAGAAGAACGGATTGGAACAAAGCAAACAATAGTGCTTTCAATATGTAGAATTCTTAA